TTAAACCTACACGTTAATTAAGTAAGGAACAATATAGGAAAAAGCAATTAAAGAATGTCTATACAATTATAAAATAGACCAAGCCACAAACCATGCTTTCCTCTCCAGCATCTTTCAGTTCCTTTTTGATATCATCCACTGAGTTTTCTTCTTCATCTTCTTCCATTGTGTCATCTTCTTCTTGCTTAAAACATTGGTGATAGCAAAGAGTAAGTAGTGTTTGATAACTTCATATTACACACATTTTTTTCTTATTTCATTGTATATGGGTACTTACTATTACAAAACTTTGTACCAAACTGATCATATACGAATTAATCTCCTGAAGAGCCATTACTAGACTTATGGGATCTGTTTCATACTTGCTCTGAATATAACAAGAAGGATTTGGTATTATTCCATGTAGCCACTACTATYATGTAATGTATAAATCATATATTATTGGAAATACATACTAATAAAGTCCGGGCAGTGACAACTCCTTGGAAGTTCATGTGGCTATCAGCTGGCTGCAGCTAAAAATCATAAAAATGGTCATTACAGATTTTTTTATATTTTGGAAGGAACATGYATAATTTCAAAAAGAAGAAGCTGTTCTATACCTGGTCACTGATCTCCTCTATTAATGACTTTGCCTGTGCACAATGCTGTGCATTACTGCAATCCCATTGGATACCAACCCTTGAATTGCAAAAAAAAAAAATATTTTGAGGTGTGACCTTAAGACCCAGGKACGTCAACTCTCCCGGATTTGCTGGGAGACTGGTTTCAGATCAAATCTCCCGGTCTCAAGATTTTTAGCCCTAAATCTCCCGGGTAGCAAGATATTTTCATAGAATCGTAGATTATTATTTTCAAAAAAAACCCTTCAATTAATTGTGTCGCGTTTCCTTGGCCTTTCGATACTATACTACATTTTCAAAATGAAATATCTACAGGTGTTGCTTACATGTGCTCGGGAATAAATGTATATAAACTGATTGTGCAATGTCTAATCCAATTGGTTGAAACAGAATGTGACATAATTTTTGACGTCCACATACAGTAATTGTGGCAATTTCTCCATATTTATAAAGTTCAGGGTTGACATTTCTGATGACCACAAATAAAACCTCAAACCCTACCCTATACCACTGCTATGGTGACTGAAATGACCACTAAACCTTTGACTTGCTAACTATAATTTGAAATGTTCTTGGCATTGTTCATATCATTTGTAATTTCAAAGTTTGTTTGGAAGGTTTTTTCTTTCTTTCTGTGATCTTTGTTTCTGATTTGACCTTAGTTTCTCTCACATTTTGATTTTCATTAATTTTTCTCATTTGTTTGTTAGTTTGCCTGTTTTCTTTTGTTTCTGTTGTTCCTGCAGTTGAAATTGTTGCTTTTGAAATATATCATTCAATATATCATTTCAAACAAAGAATTTAGTCAGAGACATGAGCGCACATGCCCGGGTTGTTTACATAAGCTTACTTCTATGGTCATTGGGACTTGTCAAAGTCGGTGATCTATGAATTAATTTTTGCCGCTAAGTAAAATGATCATTAATTCAAAGCAACACTTAAAAAGARTTGGTTTACATAATAATGTGCTCTACAGAATATAAACCTGTGAGCTTGCAACAAGAAGCTAATCTATTAAGCTTACTTATAAATTTAAGTTAAGTTACTTTTTAAAGCCAACTTTATGATTCGAAGTTTTTAAGTTCATAGACATCTTGGCAATGTGTAGTTGCATCTATTTAACTTACCATGGCTGATTTTGTATCCATTCTATAAGTTGTGTGTACGCAGTGGTCAACTCTATTGAATTAGGATATTTTGCATGCAGATCGTGCATTATACGAGCTTGAGCAGGATGTCCAAGCTGCTGAATTTGCTGTATCAGTGACATCTTGTTTGTAAAGATGAAAGCGAAACGTTTRAAGAGAAACTAACGCACTCTTGAGAGGGCACTCCGTCTTGTGAGTCTCGTGGAATATACGCACTTTGGCCAACAGAGCGGATAGTTCCGAGAAAACAGCTGAAAATTGAATGTTTTCAGAGAAGAACTCAATAAATCCGCCATTTCTGGGAATCTCGACGAGATACAGCTTCGGCACTTCTTCGTCGTCCAATCATATCCATCTATTTGCCCGGAGATCCCCGGAGATACCAACGAAGGCCAATCGAGTGAGCCGATGTTATTACTACGGCAATGACCCGATGCTGAAGTTTTTCCGRGAATCCCCGGAAGTTGCAAATCTGTAAATGAGCTCATTTTTAGCCGTTTCCCCGAAAACAATAACATTTCCGTTTTGGGGAAGTTTSATTGCATTCCCTTGCGGATAGATCAAGTTGTAATACTAGTAAATTTTAAGTATTCATATCCGTTAAGATAAAATATTTTTTGAAAAAACTGAAATGAAGCTAAAATTGAGCTATTGTAGGTTAGCTGGTTAGTTCATACATGTAGTAATCAATGTTTTGTCACGTATTCGCACGTATTAATTTTRAGTGCAGGGCGTATTTCCACAGGGAATCCGCATTTTTAAAGCACGATTTACAGCCTCTTGCAAGCGCTCGTTGACTTGTTGTTGTTGTTGTTGTTTTGTCCTTTTCTTTTTCTTTGTGTTTTTGTTGTTGATCTTCTTCTTGAACTAATATACACGAGAAATCCAAAGAGTAGTGGGCTGCCTGCGCAGCACCTGCACTTGTGACGTTGACTTAATATCACACTATACACACTGGAAGTTAACAATATTAATAGTCTTACAATAGAAAAGTCCTATATCTGCGACGTGTTTTT